CATAGTTGGACGTGAAGAAGGGAGCAAGTTGCACGTAGGGGAAAAAACGCGCCTGTATTTAAATGTCACACCTGAACGCTCACTATTACCTTTTAATTATTGTTTGAAATTATGAACATTGCTCAACATCATGAAAATTAAACCTTATTTTCAATAAGCAATCCTGAAAAATATTTGGGGGTGCTTAACTTTTTTCCAGGTGTATATATTGAACTGTACTTGAGTGAAGTTTGTTAATTAAAGTCTTTGTTTCGACGGTTGTTGTAAGTGGTAGCATATCTCAAGGAGGTTAACATTACGTATTGAACATTATGAGTACTTTAGTGAAGTTTGTTAATGTATATATTCTGTATAAATTAATCAGTTGAATGACATTTTCCTGTGTAGGGTACATACCACAAGAAGACCACTTGGATCAGGTAACCTTAAAATACACACGTGGTTTACTACTACTTCTACTTTGGCAAAGACTATCTGGATGATGGCTGTGGCACAACACCAGTTTCATTTGGTTCGCAACAATGGAAGGGTATGTTCCTAATAGTTAAGCCAGCTGTAAAGTTGTGGCACCCCATGTCATACGGTTGTGTAGAAGGAAGTGCTTTGAACTTAGGATGTTGTTAATCGCCATATTCAAGTAATGTGTTTAAAAGATATTTTATTAATAGTTCTAATTACTTTTTAAATGACTTGTCATACATACAAGCGTTTTATTATTGAACTAGCCTCTGAACGGAAGTCATATAAATTCGTAATTAATGAAAGGTTATCTTAGGACTTGAAAAGTTGCTTCTCTTATATGTAATTGTAAAAAAAAACAACAAAAAAACCGCAAAATACGAAACACAAAATTTGTACGTACCCCCGCATGGACTTAATGAGCCTCCATATCAATTTGGGTGAAGACCCATCCACATCTTGCGAAGTAGTTATGTGGACATACAACAGACAGTACTATTATATTTATATAGATTCGCGAATAGTAATTCAACAAATTTTAGGGCATCCAGCAAAAACAAACAAACAAACAAACAAAACACATGAACGTTATTTTGTTTTATAACGTAATGAATTGAAATGTGTGTGGAGTTTATGCAAATACATTTACCTGACCAGGTTTTAAGCACACAGCTTCTTACCAGTGATTTGATTTTCAATTAACATAGAAATAATAAGCTAGATAAACAGTAACCACATACTTACCACAAATTTAGTTTGATCATTATTGTGGGTCATTAGCATGATTAAAGCCAGAAGATAATTTCCAAAAAATAAAGACGTATATCTTGGGGGCATGGGAAAGCAAGTCCTTGTCATTAGTTTTCACTGTGATCCTTCTATATATGATGGCAGTTGACTTATGTTGTTTCTTTGAAAAATATGATTCGCAATAATTTACGTAAGAAGTTTCCAAGTTCTACATGACAGCGATTGGTGTGTTACTTTATAACGCACGTATGTGTTGTTTTTACGGAAAATTTAGTCGATAAATTATTAATGATATTCTTCAATTGCTCTATAATTACAGTGAATGAAGACTGTTTTCCTATACTTCCATTAGTTTGGGAAATTATGGCTTTTTCTCTAAATGTGAAAATACACGTTGGGAAGGGATTCACTGAACAAATTCTCTGATAAAAAGGCCCCCCTGTGGCACAGCGGTATGTCTGCGGAATTACAACGCTAGCATCCGGGTTTCGATACCCGTGGTGGGCAGGGCACAGATAACTCATTGTGTAGCTTTGTGCTTAATTACAACCAACCAAACAAACAAACTGATTAAAAGTGAGTGCGTAGGCAAGGTTTATATTTTCTAACTGTACCTATGTCAGACCCCGAGTCGAACTGTTTGATAACCTTGTGATTAGGAAGTAATATTTTTTTTGTTTTGTTTTGGTAGTATGGTGATTAGAAGAACAGTGTTTTTATACCTTAACTTTACCCTCGTCTTTACGAACTACGTATATAGATAGTAACATAGTGCCCAACTCTGCTTTCAGTAGTGCTTGGAAGTATGGCGATTGTTACTGTGAATCGTAACCACATCCAGTTTTTACTTAATCCACGGAATGTTTAAATGTCGTTCCAGTTTTGGACTAAACTTTAAAGACACCAATTTTTTTTAATTGTTTAGTGCAGCGTTTCTCAACCTTTTCTATACCAGGAGCGGCTCGCTGCCTCCGTAAACTGTCGCGAACGATCGCTGTCTGTTGATAGGCCTTAAGTTATCCAGTAAATTGGGTTGCTTTAGTCCGCAAACCTATATTTCTTATTATGAAGCTGAAATGAAAATTTCTTGTTTAATTATTCAGCAGGCCTGCCTCTCTTTCCTTAGGTCATGGTGAATTACGAGTTATCGTTATCGATTGATGTTATTTCAGTTATTGGCCGAAACGTAATATCGGTACATCCCTAACTATGATTATAAAAAAAGTATTTTTAAAATACGAACTAGTAGCACGAGCTCTTTCTAAGGCCCTGATGCAGAAGAGAGCTATTTTTTATTTATTTATAATTCAACCAAATATTTGTAAACATGTTAGTGAACTAATGATTTTTTAAAAGTTTTTAAATTATTATACAGGGTATATCGTGTTTTGGAGTATTTCAGGACTCAAAATATGTAAAACTGAGTTTATTGTGACAGAGTATTAGATTTCATGGTGTTTCTTTTATTACCTTCAGAATCGAGTTAGTTCGTTAAGGAACTACGAAGAAATGGCCGATACTCTGTCCAGAACCTTTCCATCTTCCATTTCTTCGAGATCCTCGCCGTCCTTGAGAATGAGTAGGAGCTCACCAAGTTTGTCAGTATTTAAACGGGAAGGTAATTTTCATCTTTACTTGCTTATGATTTAGTTGAAATAGTTCTAAACCAGTGATTAGTCCTCATCTTGTCAATACGTAATGTACATTTTTGTAATTATAAACATAGCAACTATCGATTTACGTTGCTAAATAAATTTAGGAATTGTTACGAAGTCACGTGACGCTGGTAACACGTGGTGAGTTTCTAGAAGGATCTGGGAACATCACGAGTAATCCAGTATTTGCTAGGCGTAACAGTATATTACCCATCCTTATACAGGCATAGTTTAACGAAGTGTATCTAATAACAAGGTTTGTGACTGTACTTTTATTTTCAAGTAAAATATTTTAGACTTACCGTTTATTGGCTTTCATCCCTTTTAGAAGGATTTAAACTGCTAAAGTTAAGGTTCAGCGTTGATTTAAGTTCTTGATGGCTAAAGTTTCTATAAATCTTACATTTTGCTCGTTGTTGGAATTACATATTTCAAATTTCTTGTCGTCTGCTGTCTCGTGTCACATTCTTGGTATGTATGTTTGAAGAACTGTCTGCACTGGGATTGAGATGTTCTTTTATATGCAGTTACAAATGACGTGTGGTTGATCCCACATTACCTCGTAGAATGACAGTTTTGGAACATCATAACTCACTTAACGAGGGGTTCGCACGCCATTTAAAAACATCTTTAAGTGTTGTTTACCAACGATAGATTTTTAGTGAGATATTTTTCACACATTATATTTCTTTACGAAAACAATGCTAGTCACTTGCAATATGATAAACTCTATATAAAATATATTTATCAAGTTTATCTTATACTTAACAGATGTAAAGCTGTCAACATGACTATAGAATCCTGTATACGTTGATTTATGATATATTTCTATTTCTAAATGCGCGCCATTGCTAAAAAACAAACAAACAAAGGATGGACTCCTACAAGGGTTGTTTTTGAGCCTACTATGAATTTCAATCACTGGAATATACAGGATAGGTTGGCATGTACTAACTACAAAAACACCTCGGTTTACTTTACTAAGGTGTTATTAAGGGAGAAACTCAGGAAGAAACAATTGCATGAAATCACAGTGTTATTCCTGTAACCCGAAGAGAGCGAGCATAAAGCTAAGAGTACGTAGAGATGTAAAACGTTCAAATCCACAATGTTCATGTTATGTTGTCTCTACAACCATAGTAATCAGAACTACTACTTTACTCTGCCACGTCAGTGATGTAGTCTTGAAAATGTCCAGAAACCCTGTGAGTATCGATGGGCCGATGTTGTATTTTCCATAATTAGGCATGTCTGACCAAACAGTGTGAATATCTGACGTCACAGCATTATGAATGTCAGGGTATATATATATGTGATGTCACAGACCAGATGAATATTCGATGTCACAGTTATATCGTAATGGATTAGTTGTTTTCCTTACCCTATGAGATCATTTACGTATAACAGTCATGCTAAGAGCCGCTCAACAATAACATACAGTAAATTACATTTTTATTCATTAAGTTACGTCACATTTTGAAATGTGAATAATAGTGTGATTAATTCCTAACAATTTAGTATAGGATATCCTGCTTGCGAAATAAAATTTAGCATCAACATTATTCATGCCTGTTCTCCAGTCATTTCAAAAGTGAATGTTGAGCTTTGCCTGCGAGCAAAGCTTTTTAAACGGGAGACAGACGAACGCTCGGACAGACACCACGGTTCGCAATATATATATATATATATATATATAATCATTTATATTTTTTTAATCTTAATAAATAACTTTGCAATTGGCCTTC